GCCTTTCGCTAGGAACTCTTCATCTTCTTGTACTTCTCCTTCAGCTTCAGGTATTTGTCATGTTTAGATCTGAAGGAGGATGGGGTTTTAGAAGATGGCATCATAGCCTTCTTAGACCTGCACTCACCAGCAAAATGACCCTTGTGGTGACAATTGTAGAAGATCGCTGAAGCCTTGTCAATATTATCTGACTTTGGCTTTTCCTTGATGGTCAGCGAAGGAGATATGCGGAAGTTTCTTTTTCTGGCGAATCTTCTAAAAGATTTAGTTAATAGCGCGAGTGATTCATCAAAGTCTGCAAGATCAGACTCTGATAGATCCTCAGAGTTAGTAGAATTTAACTCAGTGATAGTAACAGGGGGAAGAACTGAAGAAGAAGAAAATGGGAGTTCAGCTGAAGTATCTTCAAAGAACAGAGATAATGGAGAGCTCTTCATTTCTCTGGAATCCTTGATTAGATTCCTTTTCAGTTGTCGAGACTGCTCATGATTTGAGCAGTATCCCATATAAGGTGCTAAGAGAGAGAGAGAGGACATGTTATGGGACATCTTAAGACACATGGCATAAGTATCCCAAGATTCAGGTAAACATTCCAGAAACTTCGTTAAAGTTTCAGAATGCAATATTCTCTGTCGACAGTCCTTAAATTGATAAGAAGACAATTAAACCGTTGGTGTACTTCAGACAACGTATCAGTCTTTCCACAGAAAAAGCTTTCGTACTGTCTTACTACGTTAATCTTTCTCGATTCTTGAACCTGAGAGGTTCCTTCATATTGAACACATAGAGTGTCCCACATGGATTTCGAGGTTCTAAGCTTCATCACAGAGTGATAAACCTCGTCAGGAAGAGACATAGCTATTATAGACCTAGCACGAGTGTCTATAACTATCTTCTTCTTGTCTTCATCACTCCATTAATGAGGGAGCTTAGGAATCTACCATTCAGGAATCATAGCAGTCGTAGCTGTTTCAGGAACATCCGGAGAAATAGCATATGGAACATATGGTCCATTTTCTATATAGTGTGGAATTTCAGGATCCACACCTTCCAGAAAGAGGGACATCCGATTATTCCAAAGACTAAAGTTGTCTCGGATAAATCGGGGATGTTTGACAAGAGAGCCATTATCATGAAAGTGTGTGTTTGTGTTTTGTAAAGCCATTTGAAAGCAGTAAAATTATCTAGAAAAAGAGATAATATATCGCAGAAAAACAACTAAACAACAAGAAAAAAAACATTGCTTTGATACCACTTGTTGGTCTCGTAAGGATCTACAAGAGTTTTATAGAAACAGTTTGTAGAAGGGGGGGATGAATACAAACACATGAAACTTTTCAAATTTAAAATGGGAAAATTGCACTAAAATAGAATCAACTTTCACCTGATTCCTATTTTGCGGAACCAACTTTCAAAATCGTCATTTTGGGGAACCAACTTGCAAAATAATTATAGAAAAATAACTAAAATTCGTTTTTTTTTCAAAAATTGATGCAATAAAATCTATTTTTCATTTCAAATCTCGTTTTTTTTAAATTCAGATATCAAATTGAAGATTTAAAAAAAATCCAAATTACCACAATAGAAGTTGTTTTCTACTAATACAAAAAAAATCAATTTAATAGAAAAAAATTAATTGATGCAATAAAAAATAAATATTAAATATTACATTCAAGATTTTTAATAGATATAAAAATCTTCAATGTGATATTTAATATTTATAAAAATCTTGAATGTGATATTTAATATTTATTTTTTATTGCATCAATTAATTTTTTTCTATTAAATTGATTTTTTTTGCATTMGTAAAAAACAATTTTTATTGTGGTAATTTGGATTTTTTTATAAAAAATCTTCAATTTGATATCTGAATTAAAAAAAAACGATATTTGAAATGAAAAATAGATTTTATTGCATTAATTTTTGAAAACAAAATGAATTTTAGTTATTTTTCTATAATTATTTTGTAAGTTGGTTCCCCAAAATAGGAATCAGGTGCAAGTTGGTTCCCCAAAATGACGATTTTGAAAGTTGGCTCCCCAAAATAGGAATCAGGTGCAAGTTGGTTCCCCAAAATAACGATTTTGAAAGTTGGTTCCCCAAAATAGGAATCAGGTGCAAGTTGGTTCCCCAAAATAACGATTTTGAAAGTTGGTTCACCAAGATAGAAATCAGGTGAAAGTTGGTTCCATTTTGGTGTAATTTTTCCATTTAAAATATATATTGATCAATACATATTTTACAAGATTGTATGTGGAATAAGATAAGGTAAAGATAACATATCTAAACAATTTAAGTTACACACAAATGATCTTAGCAAAGAGAAAAGATTTGTTGTTAAGACTAAGAAGGGGATGAGTTCTTTCTGGGTAAGAACATTTTAGAATACTTGAAAAGAGATTCTAACTTGCTTGAAGATAAGCGTAAGCGTCCTTAGATGTGTGTATGTTCTTTCACGTATGCACGTAAGGATTAAGGTATCTCTGCATGGAGATAACACACATCTATTTATACTCATTGCATTAAATGCATATTTGATGCAATGCAGCAGGGTTTGAACACGTGTCAAGCTTTTAGAGAAAAGCTTGTCCTTTGCTACAGTGAATAGTACAAAAGTCTATTCATGAGCAGACATCATTTCATAGAGTTGGTGGGTAGTAGAGTTAACTAATCGGCTCCGTACAGTACTATACTCTAGAAAGGGTATGGGTTTGTCCTTTGTGTGTGGAAGGACAAGACAAAAGCAATCTTGCACAACAAGCTTCTTTTGATCGCTGAATGTTGCAATAACCCTGAAGGTCTCTTCAGCATTCGCTAAGGCTTGGGTAGTCTTCATACATATGTTGACCAGGTTGTAATCGCTGAATGCCGCTTCAGATCACGAATGCGCTAGTCTCTAATCTTCAGTTTCAGTCTTTGACTTTCGCTGAAGGTTCTTTGGTGTGAGTTTTGTCTTCTTAAAGTATCATTGTCGCTGATAGATTTACAAACATGTCTCAGCTATCACTAAACGGACTCAGTGATGATCGCTGGAACTGAAGGACAGAAATATAATACTTCGTAATAGATAAAAGGGATTATCATCAAATCAATGAAAGAGAGAGGATCAACACGGTTGTTAAACAATTTCGTTAAATGAAGGGTTTTGCGTCCTATTCTCGATTTTTTTGTCTTCTACTCAATCAAACACCAAAGAGAACAAAATTATAAAATCGATTTTGATTAGGTAAAAGACAAAAATTGGTAAAATGACGAAAATGTTACTCTTTTAACGAAACTTTTTCATGGTCGTTAGAGGGAGAACCAACCCGGACGTTTTTACAAACCATGATGGTCATCTAGTAATTGCAAAATTGTAGGGACGAAAGATATTATTTTTGACAAACCACAATGACTAAATTTATAGTTTACTCTAATTCTTATTTTGTAATAAATAAAATATTTAAACTAGAAAAATATAAAATATTTTCAAAATGAATAAATTATTTAAAAAAGAATGGGTAGAAATCGTTCAAAATCGATATTTTAACATATACAAGGATTAGTTTATTGATACAGTTATCAATATCTATCTTAAAAATCTAATTCAATTTTAAGTTGGTTTTTGTTTTTATCAACTTCAAATTGCATTAAAGTATGTCATTTTTAGGGTTTTGTAATTTGTGAATTCTATTTAATTTTTATGTTTACGTTAAAACATCTGAAATTAAAAAGGTTTAATAAAAAAAATGTTATAAAAGTTATAGTAATTATCATTTTTTCCCACAAATCAATAATATTTTTCATTAATTGCATCTAAAAACATAATACACGACCTTAATTACATCAAAGAGATGGTATGTTCCCGAAAATAAGGTTGTCAAATTCTTTCTTCAAGATAAGAACTGAAACAAAATATTTTATTAATATCATATTTATGAATTTAAAATATGCGTATTTAATTTTCATTTAAAGAATTCATTTTTTATTTAAAACAACAATATTAAAAAATAACAATTTTCGTTAAAATCATCTGTGATTTTTTCTAATCACATGTGATTTAAAACTTAAAACAATAATTTAAACTAAACATTAAAAAAGAAAAAAGATGATGAAAACGTGATGTGTAGCAAAATACATTTAAAATGTATAAGATCACATATATTTCAAAACGTAATTAATAATTTACGCATATGACATGTAATGTTGTTGATAACTTGCATTTTTTTTACTATGATCAATATCATATAAGATATATTGACGAAAATTAGCAATTTTTTTAGAAAAAAGCATCAATAAGTTGTTGATATCACATATAATTTTTGACGAAAATTGTAAAAAAGTTCTTAGATAAACTAATTCAATAAAAATAATTTTTTAAGTGAAAAACTAAATCACACCTACTTTAAATATTGTAAAAAATAAAAATTAAATAAATGAAAAATTATTCATACTTCAATCACGAAAACTAAAAAAAATCATGAATAAATACCTTAATTAAATGTATTAATAATATTTATAGAAATAAATGAATTTTCATATATAATCTCTATGTAACAAATGACATATATGCCTTTTTAGGCGATTTTTTAGAAAAGTTCATTCACGTCATTACTCAAATAAATGATTGCCTCCAAATTTTTTTTTATTTTCTTAAATATGTACAATTCTCGTATGAACCCATCTCTCTCTCTCTACACACACACACATATGTATGTGTATATATATATATATACTAGTGGTGTACCCGCGCTGCACACAATTCGAAAATATTAGTTTGGCTTTGAATCATGAGTTTATGTGGTTATTTTACAAGTCAACTAATATATAAAGTTGAAGGTCAATTTTGTTTGTTAGCAAGATCAAATGAAAAGAAAATTGCATATATGTCGGRTTTCTGAAACCATCTACTCAGAGCTCGTTACAAAACTTGAAATTCTTGAATGAACAAARAAATACAATCGTTCGTAAAATAATGTTCATCCGTATATTCGAACTGTTGTTTGTTTTTCGTGATGCACTCATCCGTAAATATTTCCTGCAAAAAACGGCGCAATGGTTTTAATAGAAACATATGGTACAAAATGTGTAATAATATAACTGTTGATTATACCTTATTGATCACGTAAAACTTCTTGATAGACGACGTTTGAGGTGTAGACTCCGGCACGATTGAATTTTTTAACAGGCTTCACTAACACCTTCGTATTCCCCCGTGATATCCCTCTGGACAACGCCACGTAAAGTTGCCCATGTGAGAAAACTGATTTCGGTAGATAAACACCTACATTCGGAATTGTTTGGCCTTGAGCTTTATTGATTGTCATAGAAAAGCTAAGCCGAATTGGAAACTGTTTTCTCTTCAGCTTAAACGGGAACATGTTGTCTTCAGACGGACATAAGGGAATTCTCGGAAGAAATACTATCTTTCCAGCATGCTGACCAACAGCTATTTCTGCATCGATGACGTTCTGTTGAAAGCCTCTGCATATCAATCTACTGCCATTACACAATCCATTCGAGGGATCGATATTTCGTAACAGTATTATTGGGCATCCGATCTTGAGACGAAGGTAATGAGGAGGCAAACCACTAACAGTTAMAGAATTTAAGAACTCCATCGGATAGATGTTGTTCTTATCATCTTCTGCTTCGTCGAAGCTGTAGTATATTTTTTCATCTCCAGAAAACTTGTCGATCAACTGATCATTAATCTCGTCGACATTCTCGTTTTTAGTTGACAATATCACCCTTGAAATGATATAATCTGAATTAGCCCCGTTGATTTGCAGAGATGGAAAGATCGCGTCAATCAGCGCATCTTTTGACTTACCTTTATCAGCATAGGGAATGGTCATGTCATCCGGTATGCGAATAAAGCTTTCGTCCACCGCTTCTTCATCTCCATCACCGACTCTTAGTAAAAATTCCGAAAACCATGGATCAGTGCGTGCTCTCATATTGAGCGTTAGCCGTATCTTTTTAATCGTTGCCCAAAGAGGTGACATCTGCAAGCTAGAATCTACAATCTGTGCTCGRGTTCCAYGCCTCACGACCGGTAATACTTGTCTAAAATCACCCCCGAAAACCATTATCTTTCCGCCGAATGGGAGTGCCACCCCTATGATGTCTTGCATTGTTCGATCGAGCGCCTCCACCGCCTGCCTCTTTGCCATCGACGCTTCGTCCCAGATGATTATTTTTGCATCTCGAATCAATTTAGCAGCCCCACTCTGTTTTCTTATGTTGCACATCGAGTTATTATCAAGGTTCAAAGGAATTTTGAATCTAGAGTGAGCTATTCTCCCTCCAGGCATATTATTGGCAGCAACACCCGACGAAGCGGTTGCGAGAGCAATAAGACCACGTGAACGGATGTTGGCAAGCAAAGCTTTGTACAAAAAAGTCTTCCCGGTTCCACCCGGACCATCTATAAAGAACACTCCTGGACAATCCTCGTCTACGTGCCTCATGTTCTCATCATATGCATATTTCTGGTCAGAATTCAGAGAGTCTCGGGCATGCAAGTGTTTATCTTCCACAACTATAGAGCATTCCTCTTGTACCTCACGAAATTCTCCAGATTGAAAATTTGAATTTGCATCAACCATTGGAAGATCGAAATCATCAAGACTCTTACCCAYAGACTGTAGAAAAACGAGGATATCAGTTAGAACCAGATTACGGACCCGATTAGCACTTTCACATTGTCGCATATAATCTTCAGAGAGTGAATCATAGTGGTCATCCCATAACTTGCGAACATCTCCTGGCTCACAATAAATCAACATCGTGGCAAATAACCTCCTAAGAGCAGCCGGAAATTGAAATAAGGAGGCCTCTCCAAGACATTGGGATAAGTTGTCATCGTTCTCTATTAACCCTCTCTCAAGAGATGCTTTGCGAAATGTAGGGTGTAGCAAGCCGTTGAAACTATATAGATCTTTAAAGCAAGTAGGCCCAGTAATATGAGACAAAAGTAGGCGTAGGTAGAACCGCTCTCCTTCAGCTGGATTTGCAGACACAAGTCGGCCTTTCATTGATCCTCTTTGCCGGGGATTCCATCGACGTGTGCTCCAATTCCACGTGTAGTGTTTTGGAAAGTCTTTGTACAAATATTGTYTTGCACTCATGTCTGTTCTATTCCTATCAAAAAATGCAGTCAACATCGTTCACTTATCTCTCTCTATCGACAATATCTGTCATTATATCATCATCTCTAAAC